CATGGTGTGTGTGTGTGTGTATGTGTGTGTGTGTGTATAATTATATAACCATAGGTGCTCAAGTCCCTTAGATAGAATAAGTCCTAAGATAGTAGCAATCTTAGCTACTCAGGAGGCTGAGATCTGAAATTTTCAGTTTAAAACCAGTTTGGGCAGAAAAGTCTATGCGATTCTTATCTCCAATAAGCTGCTTTTTAAAAAAGCCAGAAGTAGAGCTGTGGCTCAAGTGATAGAGTGCTAGCTTTGAGTCAAAGAAACTCAGGAATAGCACCCAGACCCTGAGCTCAAGCCACAGGACAGGCAAAAACAGAGAGACAGACAGACAGACAGACAGACAGAAAGACAGACAGACACAGAGAGAGAGAAAGAAAGAAAGAAAGAAAGAAAGAAAGAAAGAAAGAAAGAAAGAAAGAAAGAAAGAAAGAAAGAAAGAAAAAGAAAGAAAGGGTAGTATTTAATTTTTAAATGGTACAGTTTGTGGTTTGTTCACATCTTCCTATATACTTTAAATTATGTCTAGATTACTTTCAATTCTTAACATAATACGAATGTTTTTAAATAATTCTATTGTACTGTTTAGAAACGAATGACAAGAATAATTCCTCTACACATACACCCATTTTCTTCAAATATTTTTGATCAGCAGTTAGTTGAATCCATATGGATTTAAAAGACTAATCAAATTTCATTCCCTTTTGCCTGTTTAGATTTTATTTTCCTCTTATTGGAAATTACCCTGGATGTAGTATGACTAGTTGAGGCAAATAATTTACCTGGGCCTTATAGGGGTGGTGACAATGGCAGTAGACACAGATAGCTTTGAAAACTAGGTAGGTGACTCAGTGACTGGATCTGAAGTAGCTAGGAGAAGAGAGGAAGATGGAGGGGGTATGAGTGAGGCTCAAGAGTTCTGGTTTGAGCAAATAATGGATGATGTCTCTTAATGGTGCTAACACAGGAAAGTACTGGAGGGGCATCATTATAAAAGAAAAATACAAGATTTAATTTGGAACGTATCAGATTTGAGATGCTTCAACATAGAGATGTCTAAGAAGCATCAGGTATGAAGTGTACCATTCAAAAGAAGTGATTGGATGGGCACTGGTGGCTCATGCCTGTCATCCTAACTACTCAGGAGGCTGATCTGAAGATTGTGGTTCAAAACCAGCCCAGGTGGGAAAGTTTGTGAGACTTTCTCTCCAATTAACCACTAGAAAACTGAAAGTGGTTACTGTGGCTCAAAGTGGTGGAGCAGTAACCTTGAGCAAAAAGAGCTCAGGGACAGAGCCTAAGCCCTGAGTTCAAGCCCCAGGACTGACCAAAAAAAAAAAAAGATCTGGAGAGATAAATTTTAAAGATGGCTCCCTAGAAGTGATGTTTGAATTCAAGGAATAGAAGAAATTGGCCCTAGAAAGAATATAATGAAAAGAGAAGAAAGATTTGTTCTGAGTAATGCTAACAAGTTGTGGCTGGGAGAAGGAGGGGAGTCATGGATGAGCACTGAGAAGAGGACACATGGGCAGGGATGAGCAGGAGGAGATGGTGTATGAAGCCAGTGGATGGGGAGGATGGAGCTCAGAGGTAAAGCATGTGCTTAGCAGGCCATACAAGGTTCTGGATATGACCCCAGGCATTGAAAAAAAACAGTCAAGAAGAGAAAAATGCTTATAAATAGAATATTGTCAATTCTATCAAAGTTAAGGAGTCAAATAAGTACCCAGTGCTTGGGCAACAGGAAAGTTGCTGAGGAGCTGGGGACAGAAGCCAGCCTGAGGCAGGTTGAATGGAACTTAAGGCCAGGGATAGTACTGCGTCCAGACAACAACCCATCAAAATGACTATAAAGGGAAATAAAGGATTAAAAGTTGTATCCTTGTGTGTCTAAGTGGCTCATAAAACTTTTCTGCCCAGGCTGATTTCAAACTGAGACCCTCAGATCTCAGCCTCCTGAGTAGCTAGGATTATAGAATGAGCCACCAGCAACCAGTAGTATCATTTTTTACATGTGGAAAATATGATGGTGGTAAAGAAGCCTTGAAAAGGCAGAGGTTAAGATAAAGTAAGAGCTAGAATACTTGATAGTAAAATAGTCAAAGAGGATGCTGGATAGATATAAGTGTAATGGCATAGAAGAAGGCATATCTATTGAAGATTAAAGTAAGGAGGAAAAGATGTGCTAAAAGGCTGACAGGGGTGTGGTTTTAGAGCAGTTCTGGCTACTGCCTTCTATAAAGTTTAAGAAGGAGCCCATACAGGTTACCTGCTAAGAATAGGGTCCAGAAGAAAGCACAGAAGAATAGAGATTTAAAATAGCTACTAAGGAGGCAGGCCCAGTGACTCACAGTGCAATCTTAGTTACTCAGGAGGTTCAGATCCAGAGAATGTCTGTGTGAAGCCAGCCAAGGTAGAAAAGTCTGGAGATTTCATCTTTAATTAAGCAGCAAAAAACCATACTGTAGGTATGGCTCAAGTGGTAGAGTACCATCCACACAGTCAATTTAGCCAAGCAATTGCAAGGCACTGAGTTCAAGCCCCAGTGCTGTCAAGAAAAGAAAGAGAAAGAAAGAAAGAGATAGAGAGAAAGGAAAGAAGGAAAGAGTGAGAGAAAGAAAGAAGGAAAGAAAAAGAAAGGAAAGAGAGAAAGAAGGAAAGAGAAAGGAAGAAAGAAAGGAAGGGAAAAAGAAAAGAAACTAAAGAGAGTGAAAATGACTTGCATAGAAAAAGGCCTATTTAGATTTTTGGGCAGTGAGGAGAATATAGTGTGGTTGAACCTATAAATGATTCACTTCCTTATTATTTATGTGTCATAAACAGGACTCAGATATAGGGGAAGGCATGGGGAAGACAGAGATAGATTGTATGCCATTGTGGCTTTCTTGGATGATGTCATATGAGGTTTAAGAAACTGGTGAGAGAGAGAGAGAGAGAGAGAGAGAGAGAGAGAGAGAGTAGCTGCAAAGATGGATTATGGAAATTGAACCTGGGAGAAAAGAAGACAGACACTATTGAAGGAAAAGCATAGGGGCCAATGGGTATGGTTATGATGAGAACCAACAAGAGTTGTGAGTGGTCAAATCAGAAGAAAGACCTTGTGCTCAGAGTGGATTGGAGGTGGATTAATGGGGCTAATAATTGACCCTTGTATAAAGGGTTAACATGGATGAAGTTAAGTGTCATTGAAGTCAAAGACGTGAGAGACCAGACAACAGAGCTCAATTTGATCAAGATATTCTCATGCACAATCTTCTAAATGTTTTGTGTTTTTCTTTTTTGTTTAATCTACCTGGAGCTGATATTTATGCATGATATGAGAATATCACATTTATATCCTTCTGTTTGGGAAAACAGTAATTTGTAGGCCAATTGTTAAAGTTATCTAGTCCCCCAATAGTCTATAAATTCAACCTTCTTCATGGCTCCTGGCCTTTATTCAATCCTTATCACCTCTAGTGTGAATTAATACAGTACCTTTCAGCCTCTTCTCTCTATAGCTCATATTTTACAAGTTGCTGTAAAAGTTACCTTTTTGAAATACAAAATATAACCATGGCACTCCCCTGATTAAAGTGCTTATATAATTTTGGTAGTATATGGGTTTGAATTCAGGAGCTTTGTCTTCTTCAGCTCTACTCGCAGCTAAGCACCGAACCACTTTAGCCAGGCCTCTCGTCCAGTATTTTGCTGGTTAACTGGAAATGAAGTCTCTCAAACTTTCCTGCCTAGGCTAGCATTGAACTTCAGTCCTCCAGATTGTAGCTCTGAGTCCCCATTGGAAGTCATTTTGTTGTCGTCGTTGCCTAGAGAAAAAAAAAATCAAAGTCCCAAGTATGGCATATCTAAGCATTTCACAGGGTTATTTTGTGTTATTTCTCTGCTCATTTCTTTGTTCCTCATTGTCTGGTATTATCCACATTTGTACTCAAATGCTGTTGTATTTGTAAAAATATGTGAGCCAAGTTCACTTTCACAGATATTAGATAGGTCCTGAGTCATCTATTTAATGATGGCATCTATATATGTTCCAGGCACTAGATAAGATTTTAGTTTACTTAAATACTTCCAGTCTAATGGATACAAAGCCTTCACTCAGGATGTTTGTAAAAGGAAGAATATTGTCTGTAGCAGTAGACTTGTAAATGGCTAGAAGAACTCCACTGATGGCAACTAAAGGGAATCCATCAGTGGTAGCTTTGAGAGAAAGTCAGCTGGGTCCATCTTGAAAGGTGGATAGAATTTACTGGCTCAGAAGAAGGGAGTGGGGCATTTGAAGTGGAGAGTTGGAAAAGTATGACCCCACAGTACTAGAGGAGACAAGCACATGGCCGGAAAGGTAAACTGGGGCCAGAATACAAATCTTCCAAGCATGGGTTAATAGATTAAGGTGTCTGATAAATGATCAATATAAATAGGTAGTGGCATGATTAGCCAGGCTGGAATTGACAGAGATGAACCTTGAGGAGATATACTCTTAGTCTAAGGATTGTACGGCATTGGTTTGCTTGGGCAAGTAGAAAAGCCAGAAAGGGTGCAAGAGAAATTCCAGGGAGAGACTCTGAGCAATTAATGCCCAAAGAAAGTGGTTTTAGGTCAGGTCCAAAAAGTATATGGTTTATTGCTGGATGTCAGTTTCTCATACCTGTAATCCTAGCTACTCAAGAGGCCGAGATCTGAAGATCTCAATTCAAAGCCAACCCAGGAAGGAAAGTGCATGAGATGCTTATCCCCATTTAGTCACTAAAAAGCAGGAAGTAGAGTGGTGGTTCAGTGGGTAGATGCCAGTCTTGAGCAAAAATACTATGGGACAGTGAACAGCCCTTGAATTCAAGCCCAAGTATAGCACAAATATATATGAATATATTTCTATGTAATTTTCTATAATATATACAAATAGTGTGTTTATATTATTGTATTAAATATTATATATTTATATATAATATAAATTGTTATTGTGTCTTTAGATTAATGGTTTCTTTCTTGTTCATCCCCTCCATGTGTGGCAGCTTCTACTGGGCATGGTTGGGTCCCCGGATGAGGCTCTCCAGGAGGCTGCCGCTGGCTGCATATCCAACATCCGCAGGCTGGCTCTTGCAACAGAAAAGGCGAAATATAATTGAACTTCAAACAGATCCCCATCAAGCTGCCAAATTTTACATGACACAGCATGTGTCAGTCCCATGGCCAAGAGGCCTCAATTGAGAAACACATATTACTAAATCCTTTAAAGATGAAAATAGACTGAAATGCAAATGCTACTTTTTCTCTGAAAATGACTTGTATAATTTTGTTCTATTAACTGTTTGAGGGATATGCCATATAATCAAATGTAAAGCCAATCAATCTAGGATTGTGTTTTAAGCATTTGAGAATATTTGTGTACAGGATGCTTTTGTATTCATGGAGATTTTAATAAAGACTGTGGCTTTCCCGGAGTGCCGTTTCACAGTTGCTCATGAATGTCTGTAGAATTCCCTTTCTGTTAAACCTATCTACCCGGACATCATTAGGCTTTGTCTGTGTGATCAGTTGCAACCCATGGGAGAATTCTGCGGAGATGTGCTGATTCCACAAACAGTGTTTAAACAGAATTTAGAGTTCAGCAGCTGGATTTAGGGAGATCATCCTGGGGTCATCCCCAATTTCTGCCAAATACTATCAAACATCTGAGAATATAATATCTGTCACCACACCAGATAATGTGAAACACAAAAACATTAAGCAGTAAGTTTTTCCCCCCTTTTTCTTAATATACTTTGAATTTCTGAATTTATTTTCAGCACATAGAGTGCTTTTTAAAAAGTGTCTATGAAAGATTAATAGCATTTTATCAGGTTAAGAAATGTTAGAATCCACTTAAAAGAATCACAGATGTAGCCTTTGTGTGCCGAAATGTTTGGGAACCAACTGTCCCTAGCATCTAATACCAGCCAGAATAATAGTTTTGTATGCATCATCTTGGTAAGCCAACAATTGCGTTCATGCATTAATGGAGAGGCAAGGCAGTTTTATTAGAAAATATCAGGTACTGTATATGTTTGTCATAATTGGAGAAGACCATAAACTTAATTGAGTTAAATGTAAATAATTTGTACAAAATGAAAAGCCTGTACAGAATAAAAAATTAGAGCAGTAATAGGAACTCCAATAAAAAGATGAAATACTTCTGAGAATTTTAGGTTTCATAAAACGCCCTTTGTGCTTTACTGTTTTGCAAAGGAAAGTACAAAAGAAGAGACAGTAAACAAAAAAATGGTATTAATACTGAAAATTAAATGTAAAGAATGGAGGGAGAATGCATTACTGATATTCAATGTATAGCCTATGAAACTAGAACAATTGAGGGGAGGGTTGGGAGATGGGGGGATGATGGGGAAGAATGAAAAAAGGGGTAATACATAGTAATATGAATTGCATTGCGCTTATATACGAACCTGTTGGATGGTAACCCCTTTATACGACTTAAACATAATAAGACACAATACAAAATTAAAGAATAGAATAAATCTGTTAACTTTCAGTAGTTGGCGTTGCTAAAATGGAACTCTCTCCATTTCACTTTGTTTCACAACATTAAAAACACATCTAGAAGCCATGGATTCTGATGATGACAGGAAATTATATTGTCATCCCACAGCTAGAAAAGGAAACCTCCCACGATTGTCTTGGAATTTGAAAATATCCTGGAAGTAATAGGTCCTGGGAGTGAAGGGAAACAACAGCAAAACAACAACAAAAAAGAACCACGTGGATGAGGAGATGGAAGGGGAAAGGGAGGGGTTGTATGTGTGCTCACGTGTGCGTGTATGTGTGTGTGTGTGTGTGTTTTACAATGTGTGCTGGATAGCAGGAGACTTGACATTTCTGTTTTTATGGTTAGTAAATGCATGAAATAAAGGTAATGCTGCCATTTGAAAATAACAATGGACTCAAACAAGTTTGTCGATTATTATTAAGAAATTTTCTTAACATTTTTTTAATACTGGCAATGAGAAATTGATTTTAAAAATTGATTTTTTGGCTTTTTTTGTGTGACATGTCCTAACAGAAAATTGTTCTTACTAGAAAAATAGCAAAGCCAGTGAAGGTCCCCACAGCTATGAGGGACACAAAACAGGATCCCACCACTGTTAGTTACTAAGAGCTAGGAGAGAATGCTTCTTTCTTTTTAAAATTAATTTTGTGTGAGGGTTTTTGATTGGTTTATTTTGTGCTATTTAAAGATAAAGACTTGATTTTTAATGGTTTTCAGGGACGTTTCTTGGGCTTTTTTTCTTCAGGATACCTTGCAAGAATTCAGTGTGCTCTTGAGGTAATAGATTGCTGCGGTTTGAAAGGGGTTTAAGGTAGAAGGAATTTTCAATACGTCTTTGATCTTGCAATGTTTGCAACGTTGCCTTTTAGATGTCTATCCTCACCATAATCCTTCTGTTTTTCTCTGGCAATGTGCTTTTGCTACTGAGTTAACTTGCACTGAAGCAGTTTAAGAAAAAACAAGCCTCTGAAAGCAAGTGCAAAGTTCCTAAGGCTTGGCATTGTGATTTCTGTTATCCTGATTGACTCTGGCATTACCATTCAACATTTCTAACACATTCACAAGGAAATGACAGATTAAGATACAAAATATTTGGACAATTTCCACTTCGGAAAATGAGAATCTCAATTGTTGATAGACAGGCCAAAGCTTGTAAATTTTTCTTTTTTTTTCTTTTCATTAAGAGGATTAGATGAACAAGATACAAACTTGATAACTTGAGATGTTTAATTTTACTCCACAAAGAATAAGCATGTCCATCCTGCAATTTAAAGAAAATCTACATATTTAAAAAAGCCTATCTCAAATGCTCAACCAACCAGTGGGCCTGCATGCTCTTCAGCATAAAAAACTAATGGAACTCCCTTCCTAAACAAGAATGGACTTGAAAAGGGAAACTAAATGTTATAATGCAGGCACAATATTCACTACTTTGGGTTTTGTTTAAAATACAGGAGAACTGATAAATACCTTCTTAATGATTGAAATGGGCACAGTCAATCTGCAAAAGCAACTTGGCAATAGATACCAAATCTTTATGTGTGCCCTTTAGATGTATCTAACAGGGTCTCTCTGCTGTATGTAGTTAGGAAGGAATGTGTTAGAAGCTTAGACCCTAGATTAGCATTAATGTGTGTGTGTGTGTGTGTGTGTGTGTGTGTGTGTGTGTGTAAAAACCTTAAAAGGTGGAGCCTAAATAGAGGTTTTTGGGAGAATATCTTCAAAAGGAGTTGTGGGGCTGTGATGTCTTCCTCTCTCTCCCTTGCTGCTTGGATATGAAGCAGCGAGCCTGCCATCCCATGGCCTGGCCTGCCACATGCCCAAAGCAATAGGGTCAATTGACTATGAATTAGAGCTTCCAAAACTACGAACCCAAAGAAGCATTTTCTCTTTACAATGTGATTTTTCTCATTTATCATACTCACTTATACCTTTGTTTATAATGATAAAAACGTTAGAAAAACTTGGGCAAATGCAATGGTGGCTCAGTCACACAGTGAAAGCATGTTTTGCAATAATGACACAACTTTTCAAAGCATATTCTGCTAAGCTGAAAACAGGTTCTGCAGCAACATATACAGGGTGAGCATATTTTCAAAATTATATGCAATTAGCTAGTTCATGACAATGAGAAAATGACCTGCCATATATAAGCAGACAGTAGGATTGAGTAGGAATAAATGGTTTCCTATTTTATCAGCATTATTTTGTATTTATTTCACAATGAATAGAAATTGCTTTTAAAAAAAATAAAATACTCCCAGTATTACTATTTATCATTTGGAAATGCTGAAAGTTGACATCCTTCCCTAATGCTTCAGGATCTTTAAAAAGAGATCCTCAGCTTATTCCAACACATAACTAGGATAACTGATATTTCCAAATAGGAGAGAGGTAACATCAACATCTAAAATTCCACACGGTTATTCTAATCTATAAAATACACACTTAAATGACAACTAATAATGGTTCAGTATAATTGAGACATCCTGAAGTGATTCACTTTATAAGTTCTGACAATTTGCTTATTCAAATTTTGTGTTTGTACATGAGACATCCATCCCAGGTCTGTCTGTCTGTCTGTGTCTCTCTGTCTCTGTCTTGTCTCTGTGTCTCTGTGTCTCTGTCTCTGTGTCTCTGTGTCTGTGTCTGTGTCTGTCTCTGTCTCTCTCCCCCTCCCTCCCCACCCTGGTCCTGGAGCTTAATTCTGAGCTCCTTTTCCTCAAAGCTAGCACTCTACCACTTGAACCACAGCACCACTTCTGGCTTTTTTTCTGTGATTAAATAGAAATTCAAGTCTTATGGACTTTTCTGCCCGGGCTTGTTTAGAACCATGATCCTCAAATCTCAGCCTCCTGAGTAGCTAGGATTATAGATGTGAGCATTTGCTCCTGGCTCTGGTGTCTCTTATTATAAGTACCCAAGTCCTGTTGGAGTAGGACCCTGTCTATACTATATGGCCTCATTTAACCTTAGCTACCTCCTTTAAAGTCTTGTCTCCAAATACACCACATTGGAAGTTAGTACTTTGAGAAAGGAATTTGAACAAAATGGTTTTGTTGACCTGACATAGCCCTTGGTTCGCTAGTTTCAAATGCCATCATCTTTTATTATTAGAATGAAAGTATTGATGAAATCCTGATATATTACTGGCTGGTCAACAGATCACTAAAGAAATAATTTGTGCAAAAGGACACATCAAACTGTCTTGGCCAATAGATTTATATTATGATCTCAACACTATAAAATGCAACACTGAACAGGTTGACTGTAGAAGTTGAAAATGTACATAACTGTAAAGGGATATTTCAGTTTATAGGACAGCAGAGAGCTAACTCCTCTGCTGTTAATTAGGCAGGAACCAAACTGCCCAAAACAAAGGCCTGTTTTCATCCAGGTGTCTTCTCAGTATTCCCGATCCTGTCCTCCCTCATAAACAGGACCAAAGCTAAATATAAAAGTGAAAACAGAGAAAAAGTCCCGTGAAAATTTCTTTGAGGCAGTGCTTCGTGGCTGTGGTATTGGAGTCCACATGCAGGAGCTTTTCACATAAAGCAAGCGCTTTGCCTCTGAACTCTATCCTCA